TGTTTGTTTGTGTGTGTGTTTGAGTGCGCGTGTGTGTGCGCGCGTGCGTATGTTAAATACGCGTGAGTACTTCCGGTTTAATTCGCTGTTTCTGCGTCGCTGCGTAAATGAGCCGCGTGACTAAGAGCGCGCGCGCGTGGGTTCGGACAAGAAAAAAACACGAGCACGAGCGCGGGTTTTTATTTTTTTATTTTTGAATTCAATATTTAATGAGATTCACACATTAACAACACAATTAAAACAAACATAATTAAAATAAACATAATTACAGGAACAAAAAACAAACGTCTGACGTGTCTGCGCTGTGTCACGTGATGTTTTACGTTCATGGACGTAATATTTTGTTTCTAATACAAAAGTCCACCGTTGTTTGTTTTTTTTTGTTTTGTTTTTTTTTCTCGTGTGAACGTGACGCGCGGACTCCACACGCTCCACTCGGGAATCGAACCCGGGACCGTGTCACTGTGAGTAGAAGAATGAGCCCAGAGCGCCCCCCGCGGGACTCACACTGCAACAACAACAACAACAAGTACTACAACGATAACTACTACTACTACTGTTACTACTGCTACTTATACTACTACTACTACTACTGTTACTACTACTGCTACTACTACTACTACTACTACTACTACTACTACTACTGCTACTACTACTACTACTACTACTACTACTACTACTACTACTACTACTGTTACTACTACTGCTACTACTACTACTGATACTACTACTACTACTACTACTACTACTACTACTACTACTGCTACTACTACTACTACTACTACTACTACTACTACTGACTACTACTACTACTACTACTACTACTACTACTACTACTACTACTGACTACTACTACTACTACTACTACTACTACTACTACTACTACTACTGACTACTACTACTACTACTACTACTACTACTACTACTACTACTACTACTACTACTACTACTACTGTACTACTACTACTACTACTACTACTACTACTACTACTACTACTACTACTACTACTACTACTACTACTACTACTACTACTACTACTACTACTACTGCTACTACTACTACTACTACTACTACTACTACTACTACTACTACTACTGACTACTACTACTACTACTACTACTACTACTACTACTGCTACTACTACTACTACTACTACTACTACTACTACTACTACTACTACTGACTACTACTACTACTACTACTACTACTGATACTACTACTACTACTACTACTACTACTGATACTACTACTACTACTACTACTACTACTACTACTACTACTACTACTACTACTACTACTACTGACTACTACTACTACTACTACTACTACTACTACTGATACTACTACTACTACTACTGCTACTACTACTACTACTACTACTACTACTACTACTACTGCTACTACTACTACTACTACTACTACTACTACTACTGTACTACTACTACTACTACTACTGATACTACTACTACTACTACTACTACTGATACTACTACTACTACTACTACTACTACTACTACTGATACTACTACTACTACTACTACTACTACTACTACTACTACTACTACTACTACTACTACTGACTACTACTACTACTACTACTACTACTACTACTACTACTACTACTACTACTACTACTACTACTACTACTACTACTACTACTACTACTACTGACTACTACTACTACTACTACTACTACTACTACTGCTACTACTACTACTACTACTACTACTACTACTACTACTACTACTACTACTACTACTACTACTACTACTACTACTACTTACTACTACTACTACTACTACTACTACTACTACTACTACTACTACTACTACTGATACTACTACTGCTACTACTACTACTACTACTACTACTACTGCTACTACTACTACTACTACTACTACTACTACTACTACTACTACTACTACTGACTACTACTACTACTACTACTACTACTACTGATACTACTACTACTACTACTACTGATACTACTACTACTGATACTACTACTACTATTACTACTACTGCTACTACTACTACTACTACTACTGATACTACTACTACTACCACTACTACTATTACTACTACAGGACCAATGACAGAAACAAAAGCGCAGCACGGTTCATCAGAGGGTTTGGTGCTTTATTTAGTTTTTTAACAAATTTTTAAATAATAAAAAACTATTTAAAATAAAAACAAACGGTCACGTGTGTTTTACTCTGAAAGGGAGCCGGAAGTGACGGCGGAAGTGGAGGTGAAAGACGCGCACTTTTCAAAAATGGCGCCGTAAACACCGTTTGTAGCAGCGACAAGGAACTAAACCAGGTCTAAACCAGGACTAAACCAGGACTAAACCAGGTCTAAACCAGGACTAAACCAGGACTAAACCAGAACTAAACCAGGACTAGAACCAGGTCTAAACCAGGACTAAACCAGGACTGAACCAGGACTAAACCAGGTCTAAACCAGGACTAAACCAGGACTAAACCAGAACTAAACCAGGTCTAAACCAGGACTGAACCAGGACTAAACCAGGTCTAAACCAGGACTAAACCAGGACTAAACCAGGACTAAACCAGGTCTAAACCAGGACTAAACCAGGACTAAACCAGGACTAAACCAGAACTAAACCAGAACTAAACCAGGACTAAACCAGGACTAAACAAGGACTAAACCAGGACTAAACCAGAATTAAACCAGAACTAAACCAGGAATAAACCAGGACTAAACCAGAACCAAACCAGAACTAAACCAGGTCTAAACCAGGACTCATTTGTGGGGTCTCCCTGGTGTTTCCGGGTCCATGGCGCGTCCTGAGCCTCTGGAGGATCTGCTGGGGGAGCTGCGCAGCTTCGTGAGCGCTCGGTTGGCGGTGGCGGTGGAGGAGATTCTGCTCGCCGTGGGACGGACGGTGACGCGCTGCAGAGACACGTTTGACCAGCAGAGGGCGCAACGAGAGGAACTGAAGGAAGAACCGACAGGAGCGGGTCTGACACACAGGACCGCACCTGACACACACGGGGAGGGACCTGACACACAGGACCGCACCTGACACACACGGGGAAGGACCTGACACACGGGGAGGGACCTGACACACATGGGGAGGGACCTGACACACACGGGGAGGGACCTGACACACGGGGGGAGGGACCTGACACACACACACCTGACACACGGGGGAGGGACCTGACACACACGGGGGAGGACCTGACAACACGGGGGGAGGGACTGACACACACGGGGAGGGACCTGACACACACACGGGGAGGGACCTGACACACACGGGGAGGGACCTGACACACACGGGAGGGACCTGACACACACGGGGAGGGACCTGACACACACGGGGGGAGGGACCTGACACACACACGGGGAGGGACCTGACACACACGGGGGGAGGGACCTGACACACATGGGGAGGGACCTGACACACACGGGGGGAGGGACCTGACACACATGGGGAGGGACCTGACACACACGGGGGGAGGGACCTGACACAGTTGTGTTTCTCTTTCAGGTCATGTGTTTGTGGAGGCCCCAGACTGGCCCCTCGTGCGGCCGCCCCAGGCCCCTGGGCCGCTCTTTAAACAGGAGCAGAGCAGCAGCAGCAGCAGGGGGCGCTGTGCACAGGAAACACACACACACAGGGACACACACACAGGTACTGAACCGGGACTAGACCTGGACTGAACCAGGACTGAACCAGGACTAGACCAGGACTTGACCAGGACTAGACCAGGACTGAACCAGGACTTGACCAGGACTTGACCAGGACTAGACCAGGACTGAACCAGGACTGAACCAGGACTAGACCAGGACTGAACCAGGACTTGACCAGGACTAGACCAGGACTGAACCAGGACTGAACCAGGATTAGACCAGGACTTGACCAGGACTAGACCTGGACTGAACCAGGACTTGACCAGGACTGGACCAGGACTTGACCAGGACTTGACCAGGACTGAACCAGGACTAGACCAGGACTGAACCAGGATTAGACCAGGACTTGACCAGGACTTGACCAGGACTGAACCAGGACTGGACCAGGACTTGACCAGGACTTGACCAGGACTTGACCAGGACTTGACCAGGACTAGACCTGGACTGAACCAGGATTAGACCAGGACTAGACCAGGACTTGACCAGGACTAGACCAGGACTGAACCAGGACTAGACCAGGACTTGACCAGGACTAGACCTGGACTGAACCAGGATTAGACCAGGACTAGACCAGGACTTGACCAGGACTTGACCAGGACTGAACCAGGACTAGACCAGGACTGAACCAGGACTTGACCAGGACTTGACCAGGACTAGACCTGGACTGAACCAGGACTGAACCAGGACTAGACCAGGACTGAACCAGGACTTGACCAGGACTTGACCAGGACTTGACCAGGACTTGACCAGGACTAGACCAGGACTGAACCAGGACTGAACCAGGACTGAACCAGGACTTGACCAGGACTTGACCAGAACTGAACCAGGACTGAACCAGGATTAGACCAGGACTAGACCAGGACTGAACCAGGACTAGACCAGGACTGAACCAGGACTTGACCAGGACTTGACCAGGACTGAACCAGGACTTGACCAGGACTAGACCAGGACTGAACCAGGATTAGACCAGGACTGAACCAGGACTAGACCAGGACTGAACCAGGACTGAACCAGGACTGGACCAGGACTGGACCAGGACTTGACCAGGACTTGACCAGGACTAGACCTGGACTGAACCAGGATTAGACCAGGACTTGACCAGGACTTGACCAGGACTAGACCTGGACTGAACCAGGATTAGACCAGGACTTGACCAGGACTTGACCAGGACTTGACCAGGACTGAACCAGGACTGAACCAGGACTAGACCAGGACTGAACCAGGACTTGACCAGGACTTGACCAGGACTAGACCAGGACTGAACCAGGACTTGACCAGGACTTGACCAGGACTTGACCAGGACTGAACCAGGACTGGACCAGGACTTGACCAGGACTTGACCAGGACTTGACCAGGACTAGACCTGGACTGAACCAGGACTAGACCAGGACTAGACCAGGACTTGACCAGGACTTGACCAGGACTTGACCAGGACTTGACCAGGACTAGACCAGGACTGAACCAGGACTTGACCAGGATTAGATCAGGACTTGACCAGGACTGAACCAGGACTTGACCAGGACTAGACCAGGACTGAACCAGGATTAGACCAGGACTTGACCAGGACTGAACCAGGACTAGACCAGGACTTGACCAGGACTGAACCAGGACTAGACCAGGACTGAACCAGGACTAGACCAGGACTGAACCAGGATTAGACCAGGATTGACCAGGACTAGACCTGGACTGAACCAGGACTTGACCAGGACTTGACCAGGACTTGACCAGGACTAGACCAGGACTGAACCAGGACTTGACCAGGACTTGACCAGGACTTGACCAGGACTGAACCAGGACTGGACCAGGACTTGACCAGGACTTGACCAGACTTGACCAGACTAGACTGGACTGACCAGGATTAGACCAGGACTAGACCAGGACTTGACCAGGACTTGACCAGGACTTGACCAGGACTTGACCAGGACTAGACCAGGACTGAACCAGGACTTGACCAGATTGACCAGGACTGACCAGGACTGACCAGGAGGACTTGACCAGGACTTGAACCAGGACTAGACCAGGACTGACTGACCAGGACTAGACCAGGACTTGACCAGGACTGAACCAGGACTAGACCAGGACTTGACCAGGACTTAGACCAACTGAGACCAGGACTTGACCAGGACTGAACCAGGACTAGACCAGGACTTGAACCAGGACTGAACCAGGACTTGACCAGGACTGAACCAGGAGACCAAGACCAGGACTAGACCAGGACTGAACCAGGACTAGACCAGGACTAGACCAGGACTGAACCAGGACTAGACCAGGACTAGACCAGGTCTTGTTGGGTGATTCTTCTTTGTGCAGATGTTTCCTCGGTGCAGGAGGACGAGTTTCGGTCTCGTGTTTCGGAGGTTCCTTTGTTCTTCTTGAACTCGGCTCCGGAACCGAGTCCGGTACCGGAGCCCAGAGCCCAGAAGAAGGTCCGGTACCACTGCCCGTTCTGCGGCAAAGCCTTCGCCAAAACGGACAACTTCAAATGCCACCTGCGGGCGCACACGGGCGAGAAACCCTTCAGCTGCTCCGAGTGCGGTAAACGCTTCGCCTACCACGCCTCCTTCAACAACCACAAGCGCACGCACTCGGGCGAGAGGCCGTTCGGCTGCTCCGTCTGCGGGAAAACCTTCGTCCTCAAGGCCGTCCTCAAGCAGCACATGTTCACACACCAGGAACACAAACCCTTCAGCTGCCCCGTGTGCCACCGCGGCTTCTGCAACAAACAGGGCCTCAAGCAGCACATGAGCAAACACCCCTGACCCCTGACCTCTGAACCCTGACCTCTGAACCCTGACCCCTGAACTCTGAACTCCTCCTGTGCCCCCGTGTGTCAGACTGAGCTGGTGGGAGGTAGAGGAGGAGGAGGAGAAGCAGGAGGAGGGAGGAGGAGAGAAGCGAGGAGGAGGAGGAGGAGGAGGAGCAGTGGAGGAGGAGGAGGAGCAGGAGGAGGAGGAGGAGGAGCAGGTGGAGGAGGAGGAGGAGCAGGTGGAGGAGGAGCAGGAGCAGGAGGAGAGAGGAGGAGGAGGAGGAGGAGGAGAGGAGGAGGAGGAGGAGAGGAGGAGGAGAGGGGAGGAGGAGGAGCAGGTGGAGGAGGAGGAGCAGGTGGAGAGGAGAGGAGGCAGGTGGAGGAGGGAGCAGAGTGGAGAGGAGGAGGAGGAGCGGAGGAGGAGGAGCAGGTGGAGGAGGAGGAGGAGGAGGAGGAGAGGAGGAGCAGGGGAGGAGAGGTGGAGGAGGAGCAGGTGGAGGAGGAGCAGGTGGAGAGGAGCAGGAGGGAGGAGGAGAGGTGGAGGAGGAGCAGGTGGAGGGAGGGAGGAGAGCAGGTGGAGGGAGCAGGAGGGAGGAGGAGAGGTGGAGGCAGGAGGGAGGAGGGAGCAGGTGGAGGAGGAGGAGGAGCAGGTGGGGAGGAGGAGGAGGAGCAGGTGGAGGAGGAGCAGGTGGAGAGGAGGAGGAGCAGGTGGAGGTGGAGGAAGGAGGAGGAGGAGGAGGAGGAGCAGGAGGGAGGAGGAGCAGGTGGAGGAGGAGGAGCAGGTGGAGGAGGAGCAGGTGGAGGAGGAGCAGGTGGAGGAGGAGGCGTCACTTTAGTCTCTGTTTTATGTAAAAACCTGATGAGAAATCAAACGTTTGTTTGTGGACGTCTGTGAATCTGATTAAACGTTGGACTGAAGTGGAGTCTGGGGCTGTGTTCTTTGTTCTTTTGTTCTTTGTTCTTTTGTTCTTTGTCGTTCTTGTTCGGTTCAGAAGTGTTTGACGCTGGAGGTTGTCGGGTAGATTCCTTCACTCTGAATTCTGGACCTTTAAGATTATTTAAATGAAATGTAAACCTCCAAATCAGAGTCAGAACCATGACGAGAGACAAAAGAGATGAATTTGTTGTTTACATGTTTAATAGTTAAAAACATCTGATGATAAACAGATCGAGCGCGTGCAGGTTTTTCACTTCACCTGCAGTAACTCATTTGTAACACACCTCCCCGGTTCAGCAGGTGGCGCTGTGCTCCGCTCCTGATATTTAGCGGAAGTTGACATAATTAACTGTTAAATGCTAACGATGCTAACGCGGCTTTTGTAATAATTTTAGTCTTTTTTATTCATTATTTAAATTTCCTCTTACTTTTTTCCCTTTCGGACATTTGACTCCTTTAATTAAACCTGAAAAATGTATTTCAGCGGAGGGAAAAGTTTAAAGAAGTTTAATCAAAACATCAGAGCTAACGCGGCTAACGCGGCTAGCTCCAGCTGCGGGTAGCCGCGGGTTAGCGTTAGCCTGGAGCGGTCCGGCCGCGTCCCGCCTCTGTCTCCTTAATCCCCGCTTAGACCCGGCTCTCTCCGGGTCTCTCCGGGTCTCTCCGGGTCTCTCCGGGTCTCTCCGGGTCTCTCCGGGTCTGGGCCTGTTCTGAGTCCGCGGGGGTCACACTCTGCGGGACTGAACCCGGTGCGAGCGCTTCTGCCGCGGGGAGAGCGCACAGGACGCGGCAGGACGCGGCGGAGCGCGGCACAGAAGCGGCTCGTCCACAGAGCGCGGCGCGGCGCGACGCGGAGCGGCTTTTGCAGCGGAACGAGCGGCAGCACACGGAGGTGAGACCTGAAGGACCGGGCTGGACCGAGCTGGACCGGGCTGGACCGGGCTGGACTGGGAAGACCGGGTGGGACTGGGTGGAACCGGGTGGTACCGGGTGGGACGGGCCTGGAAGCGGGCTGAGTGTGCGGGAGACGCGGGGGACGCGGGGCTGAATGTTCTGAGGAGTGCGGGGTAATGATGGAGTCCAGTCCGCACTAAACCCGGTCTGGTTCTGGTTCTGGTTCAGGTTGTGGTTCAGACCCGGGGTGGACCCGGTTTACCGCGGGTCCAAAGCGCGTTATGTGAGCGGTTCTGTTCCTGATTCTCTTGTGGACTTTGTGGGTCATTCATTGATCCAAACTGTTCCACGGCTGAAGTTTGGACGCGGGACCCACGCGTGACCGCGCGCCCCGCGTGAGCCGCGTGTTTATTTAAATGTCTCTTCGCTCGTTTCACGTTTTATATTTTCATACATTTGTGCAGAGTTGAGTTCGCGCTGGAGGCGGAGCGGTGCGCCGCTGCTCCGCGGCTCCGCGTCTCTGCAGCGGGACTCGGGGCTCGGGGCTCGGGGCTCGGGGAGAAACGCTCATGAACCGTGTTTAAAAGAACAAACTGGACCGATCCGAACCGCACCGGGTCATCCCGTGCTGATCCGTCCGTGCAGGGGACACACGCGCGTAAAACTCGAGCTTTAATGGTGTTTTTATTGTTCGGTGTTGGAGCTCTAAGATGGCTGCCACGTCTTTGTTAGTTTGCCTCGGGGCAGCTGCGGTAGAAATGGGTCACTCCCTCTGCACGTGCACGCGCGCGCACACACACACACACACACACGGGCGCGCGCACAGACCACAGAGTGATGAAGATGAAGATGAGGAGGAGGTGATGAATTATAGATGAAGCTGAGGCCTGAGACAGAACAGTGTGAGCCGTTTAAAGCTCCACTCTGGAATATTCACTCTTTAAAGCTCTTTCAGCCTCCGGCTCGTTTCCATGGAGATATTTGGCTCCCTCCTCTTCTTCATGTATCTTCTGAAGTTTCTGTTTCTATGGAAACCTGCAGGTGCTGTTCCTGCAGAAAGTTCCTCAGTGTGGCTTTAACCTGGAGGAAACAGAATCGTGCAGTTTAAATCAGGCGAAGACGATCGCTGCTTTTCCCTCACCACTCAAATCCACAGGCCCAGAGCTTTAAAAACACAGAGGAGCCCAAACATACACACGCCCCCGTCACACGCCCCCGTCACACGCCCCCGTCACACGCCCCCGTCACTGCCTCAGCTCTGTGTCCTGGAGGTGTAGTTTGGTCAAAGTGTGATGTTCTGTTTATGGTCACCGTGGTTATCGTGGTCACCGTGGTTATCGTGGTCGCCGTGGTTATCGTGGTCACCGTGGTTATCGTGGTCACCGTGGTTATCGTGGTCACCGTGGTTACCGTGTGTGTGTTTGCAGATGGAGGACGCGGTCCTGAAGGAGGAGCCTGAGGAGAGCGCCATCCTGAGCCCAGAGGAGGCGGGGCTCAGGCCGGGGGCGGAGCCGCAGGAGGGCGAAGACGACGCCCCCTACAGCGGCGACGTGAAGGACGAGGACGACGAGTGCGCCCCCTACAGCCCACACGCCTCAGGTGCACAGGGGCGGGGCCAGAGGGGGCGGGGCCATGTGTGTATTCTAGTCTGTCACTTAAACACATTCAGGAAAGGTTCTGCTCAGTTCTGTGAGTGGAAATGTTGTAGGATCCAGAGCTGAGGAACAGGAGGTTACAGTTTGGATCATTGGGACAGACCCAGACTCGGACCAGAACAGAACCGAACCTCCTGAGTCTGTTTGTGATGGTTTAAACTGGACCAGACCAGAGCTCTGGTTTCCCTCCGTCTGTGTAAATGTGTAAATGTCTCTGTGGTTCTGGTTCTGTTCCAGGACTGTGGCTGCAGACCCGACTCTCGGACCCGGAGCCCGGGACCCCGGTGAGTCCAGGTTTAGCCCCGGGTCCGGACCCGTCCCCGTCCTCAGGCTCCTTCCCCTGCCCCGTGTGTCAGGAGCGGCACCCGTCGCGGCAGGAGCTGACGGAGCACCTGACGGGTCACACGCGCGGGCGCCCGCCGCTCTGCCTGGTGTGCGGGACGCAGATGCAGAACACGGGCGACGTGCGGCGCCACATGATGACGCACAGCGGCGAGAAACCCTTCTCCTGCGACAGGTGCAACAAACGCTTCACCCGCCGCCACGCCCTGCACAACCACCAGATGAACTGTCGCCACGACAACCGCCTCACAGGCCCCGCCCCCGACCAGCAGGGCACCTTCTGCTGCTGCGTCTGCGGCCTCAGCTTCCCCACGGTGAGACGCACCTGACATGCACCTGACGCACACCCGACACGCACCCGACGCACCTGACGCACACCCGACACACACCTGACGCACCCGACGCACCTGACGCACACCTGACACACACCTGACGCACCCGACGCACCCGACACACACTGACGCACCCGACGCACCTGACGCACACCCGACACACACCTGACGCACCCGACGCAACCTGACACACACCTGACGCACACCCGACACGCACCCGACACACACCTGACACACCCGACGCACCTGACGCACACCGACACACACCTGACGCACCCGACACACACCTGACACACCACCTGACACACACCTGACGCACCCGACGCACCTGACACACACCTGACACACACCTGACACACACCTGACGCACCCGACACACCCGACACACACCTGACGCACACCCGACACACCCTGACGCACCCGACGCACACCTGACACCACACCTGACGCACCCGACGCACCTGACACACACCTGACACCCGACACCTGACACACACCTGACGCACCCTGACACACACCTGACACACACCTGACGCACCCCGATGCACCTGACACACACCTGACGCACCCGACACACACCTGACACACACCTGACGCACCCGATGCACCTGACACATACCTGACACACACCTGACGCACCCGATGCACCTGACACACACCTGACACACACCGCACCCTGATGCACCTGACACACACCTGACACACACCTGACGCACCCGACGCACCCGACACACACCTGACGCACCCGACGCACCCGACACACACCTGACACACACCTGACGCACCGACGCACCTGACACACACCTGACACACACCTGACACACACCTGACACACACCTGACACACACCTGACACACACCTGACGCACCCGACGACACCTGACACACACCTGATGCACCCGACGCACCCGACGCACCCGACACACACCTGACGCACACCTGACGCCCGACACACACCTGACGTACCCGACACACCTGACACACACCTGACGCACACCGACGCACCCGACACACACACCTGACACGCACACCTGACGCACCCGACACACACCTGACGTACCCGACGCACACACACACCTGACGCACCCGACGCACCTGACACACACCTGACGCACCCGACGCCACCTGACGCACCTGACGCACCCATGACGCACCCGACGCACCCGGCACACACCTGACGCACCCGACACACACCTGACGCACACCTGACGCACCCGACACACACCTGACGCACACCTGACCGCACCTGACGCAGACACACACCTGACGCACCTGACGCACCACCGACCACCTGACACACACCTGACGCACCACCTGACACCACACCTGACACACACACCTGACGCACCCGACGCACCTGACACACACCTGACGCACCCGATGCACCTGACACACACCTGACACACACCTGACGCACCCGATGCACCTGACACACACCTGACACACACCACACACCTGACACACCCGACACACACCTGACACACACCTGACACACACCTGACACACACCTGACGCCACCCACACCTGACACACACCTGACACACACCTGACGCACCCGACGCACCTGACGCACACCTGACACACACCTGACGCACCCTGACGCACCCGACGCACCCGGCACACACCTGACGCACACGACGCACCCGACACACACCTGACGCACACCTGACGCACACCTGACGCACCCGACACACACCTGACACACACCTGACGCACCTGACGACACACACCTGACGCACCTGACGCACCCTGACCTGACACACACTGACACACACCTGACGCACCCGATGCACCTGACACACACCTGACACACACCTGACGCACCCGATGCACCTGACACACACCTGACACACACCTGACGCACCCGATGCACCTGACACACACCTGACACACACCTGACGCACCCGACACCTGACACACACACCTGACGCACCCGATGCACCTGACACACACCTGACACACACCTGACGCACCCGACGCACCTGACACACACCTGACGCACCCGCACCCGACACACACCTGACACACACCTGACACACACCTGACGCACCCGATGCACCCTGACACACACCTGACACACACCTGACGCACCCGACCGCACCTGACGACACACACCTGACACACACCTGACGCACCCGATGCACCTGACACACACCTGACACACACCTGACGCACCCGACACCTGACACACACGACACACACCTGACGCACACCGACACCTGACGCACCCGACGCACCTGACGCACACCTGACACACACCTGACGCACCCATGACGCACCCGACGCACCCGGCACACACCTGACGCACACGACGCACCCGACACACACCTGACGCACACCTGACGCACACCTGACGCACCCGACACACACCTGACGCACACCTGACGCACCTGACGCAGACACACACCTGACGCACCTGACGCACCCGACGCACCCGACGCACCCGACACACACCTGACGCAACTGAAGCACCTGACACACATGGGGAGGTAAATATATGAAGCATTGAACCTCATTTAAAACCACACACCCCTCCTGCCCCTGTCTCCTGCCCCTGTCACCCTCCGGTCCTGCAGAGGGCGGTCCTGACGGCGCACATGGTGGTGCACGTGGGCGGGGACCCCCCTCGGTGTCAGGTGTGCACCCGGAAGGTTCGACCTCAGATCAGCGCCGTCCTGCGTCACATGATGCTCCACAGCGGCGAGAAACCCTTCACCTGCCACACCTGCCACAAGGGCTTCAGCCGCAAGAGCGCCCTGCAGCAGCACCTGCAGGTGAGCACCTGTCACCATACACACCTGTCGCTATACACCTGTCACTATACACCTGTCACTACACACACCTGCCTTGAGACTTGCAGCTGCTCAGGTCCAGGAGAGCTGGGACTTTTAAGATCTGAGGTTTATATCGACTCGAGTCGACCTGAGTCTCTGAGTCTCTTGTCCCTGCAGGTGTGCGAGGAGGCCAAGGCGCCGCAGGACGCCGTCCCCGAGTTGGACGAGTCTTTCGGGTGTTCGGTTTGCGGTCACAGGGCCGACTCCGCCTCCCTGCTCACCGATCACATGACCAATCACGTGGTGATCAGCGACTGGGGCGGCACCTGCCTCGTCTGCCACAAAACCATCCAGAAATCCAAGAACGACGTGCGACGCCACATGATGATCCACTCCGGAGAGAAACCTTTCAGCTGCTCCGGCTGCGGCAAGAGCTTCAACCGCAACTCCACCCTGCAGGTGCCAGGGGGCGGGGCCGAGGGGCTGAGGGCGGGGCCGAGGGGCTGACGGAGGGGCAGAGGGCAGGGTTTAGGGGCAGAGGGCGGGGTTTAGGGGCAGAGAGCGGGGTTAGACCTGCGTTAGGTCTCAGTCTCAGTGGTGGTTGTGGTTGTGGTCAGGTCCACATGAACATCTGCAGCATCGCGGTGCCGGTGCAGAGGGACTGTGTGGAGCGAGAGCCAGAGGAGGAGGACGAGGAGGAGGGGACCTTCGGCTGTTCTCTCTGTGACAAACACTTCTTCAGGAAAGGTCTCCTGACGGATCACCTGACGACGCACCTGAGCTCTCCGCCCGGCACCTGCCTCGTGTGTCTGCGCAACATCGGCACCAAACGCAACGACGTGCGACGCCACATGATGATCCACTCCGGAGAGAAACCTTTCAGCTGTTCGGCCTGCGGCATGAAATTCAACCGCAAGTTCACACTGCGGCACCACACAAAACTCTGCACACAGGTACACAACAACACACACACAACAACACACAACACACACAACAACACACAACAACACACAACACACACAACAACACACAACACACACACAACAACACACAACACACACAGGTACACAACAACACACACGCAACAACACACAACACACACAACAACACACAACACACACACAACAACACACAACACACACAGGTACACAACAACACACAACACACAACAACACACACACAGCAACACACAACAACACACAGGTACACAACAACACACACACAACAACACAACAAAACAAAACAAAACACCACCACACAAAACTGTGCACACAGGTACACAACAACACACACACAGCAACACACAACACACACACAGCAACACACAAAACTCTGCACACAGGTACACACACACACAACACACACACACACACAACACACACAACACACACACACACACACAAACTCTGCACACAGGTACACAACAACACACACACAACACACACACACACACACACAACACACAAAACTCTGCACACAGGTACACAACAACACACAACACAACACACACACAACACACACACAACAGCACACAAAACTCTGCACACAGGTACACAACAACACACAACAACACACAACACACACACAACAACACACAACAACACACAACAACACTGCAGACACTGAGGTGGAATAAATTTGTGGCATTTATTTATTTGTGGCG